TCAAAAATATCAGCAAACTCACAGGAGTGTACTATGGGTGTTAGGAATCATCCGGCAACAGGGTACTTCCGATTTTCGAAATAAGTATTTACAAAGTTATGAGCGATTTGTACAAAATCGGATGATCCCTAACAACCATAGTAAGCAGATACTTATACAGTAGATCCGGTGTAATCGAAGTCCCCGTTAATATCCACTACTGTCCTAGGACTCAATGAATCATGAATGCGTTGTGTCCGCTGCCGCCTGTGTTAATCAATATTTGGTTAACTAGTCATGTAATTGCATATCCGGTGTAATCACAATGCCTGTTCAAGGTTCATACGTACTTCGTTTATGTATACCGGGCTGAGACTTCACCGTATTAATTAATGCACACGTCCTCGGCTACACTGCGTCCTCGGGGACACCATGCATGTAAGGCCACGGTGTAAACACGATGCAAAGGACAGCAATCGACTTATCTGTTGCTTTTTTGAAAGCATGCGAAGAGTCAGAATCCCGAGGCCTTCAGTACTAGTAGCTCCAAGTCTCACGTTACATGTTAGCAGCGAAAACGGCTAACTGGTCCAGGCAGGACAGCAACAGGAGCTTTCAACCCATAAGCAGCGAACCTACACGCACAAATACCTCCAACGAGTCACACTTACGCCTACGCCTACACTTTCCACCGCACAATATGCATCACAGGCAATTGAAAAGAACAAGCTTTCTTTCATCTATCATCGACAAGGGTAAAACGCTAAAAAATGCAAAAAAAAAAAACATTCAATTACAGGCCTTCCAGTAAATAATGGCATTTGTGGAAAAAACTTTTTTGTCCGAAAATTTTGAGAAACCCGAAACGGCAGCTTTAGGCGCTGGCAGATTTGCGTCGAGCTCGCTTTCGAGACAGATTCCTCGCTCAAATCTCAATAGTTTTCCTTGAATTTTTCTTCATGTGGTGCCGAAGTGTAGATACTGCTATTTGAGTGCAACAATTGTGTAAAAAGCTAGTTTCATTCACAAGTTAGAGATTTTTTGTACAAATTGGTAGCTTGGAGAATATAACACAAATTGTTTGCTGAATTTATCCCTCGAGAGTATCTAGAGGTAATTGGATGTTCTATAAAAACCGCAATGATAGGGAGAAACAACGAAATAGCTAGTTTGCGTAGTAGAAGGATGATTATAAGCAGTGCAGAGGTGCTCGAAGAAACAGGGGATCACAGTAAGCCATTGAGCAAAGTAAATCGATTATATTGCATTCAAGGGTTATCCAAGAGATATATAGGGATTATCTGTAGCGATCTGTAGCAGAATACATAAGAAAACTATAGCGGAAGCAAGCTGAATATGCCACGTACCAGTGGACCCGAAACCGCTTTCATCTGCTCACTTCCATCCAAGCCAATAGCCTATTTTTGCACCCATAGAGCATTAGTAGAGCTTCGGCGCTGAATGAAGAAAAATTCAAGGAAAACTACTGAGATTTGAGCGAGGAATCTGTCTCGAAAGCGAGCTCGACGCAAATCTGCCAGCGCCTAAAGCTGCCGTTTCGGGTTTCTCAAAATTTTCGGACAAAAAAGTTTTTTCCACAAATGCCATTATTTACTGGAAGGCCTGTAATACAATCGTTCCTACAAGTCCTTATATTGCGTTGAAAAACAAGAGCAAGACTAGATAAACAAGACTAGACAAAGTGAACAAGAGGAGATGAGAATGGGCACGAGTCCACGCACCACATACACCACACTCATATCACATAGTTCACCATAGCCCCGGCGCCACCCAAACGCCCCACCCCGATAATCTCAAACGGCCGTGGGGTGAGAGAATGGCGATCATAGCGTAGACGATTATTTTTGTCGGGACTGCATGGGCAAAACGAAGGGGATTAGACGTTAAGGATGGTATAACCCGCAGATGTGAGGATATTAGGATATGAGGAAGGAGTGAAAGAGTGAAAGAGGAACGAAAGAACGATAGACGAAAGGAAGAGACGAAGAAAGGAGATGAGAAGAGATGGAGGAATGAAAATCGAAAGAGAGGGAAAACGATAACAAAAAAATGCTCAGCGAGCGACCTAAAAGAAAGAAAGGCAAGGAAAGAAAGAGAGACCTTTACCATCCGCGTCATCATGCCTATGTTGTGTCACCCCGCGTCCCACGTTCTTCTCCTCACCCGGAATCAAGACAGTCAAATTTATCGTTCTAGCGACACCTTTTGTCTCGTTCTTGAATCCTCAATTACGCTTTAGCGCGGCTTTCATTCCCGTACGACTCTCCAAGGGCGTATCCCCTGGCCCACTCCCAGCCCCAACCCCTCATTCTCAACACCGACCGTCAACAGATATATAACCGATGGAATCGGACGCATAATCCTCAATCCGAGCCCGCTTTCAGCGCGGAAGATGGGCGGGAGCGAAACCCCGGGGAGGAACGTTGCGCGGGGACGCTAGACGAAGATAAGAAGATGCCGAGGGTGACTTTCAACAGCGCGGTGGAGAGGAGGCAGGCGGAATGTGTGGGAGGCGAGGATTGCACCCAGGTGCCGGAAGGGTGGGCGTGCAGGTGCACCAAGCATAAGCATGGGCATTGGCGTAGACATAGACATTGATAGGTTTGCTCTGGCTCCGAGAAATAAATGTTTTAAACTCTCCCCCATAGCCCAACCATCAGTAAAATCGACGTGAGGAGGAACGAGGGCGAAAGAGGCGACTGGGAGAGTCTCATCGCGAAGGCAGTCGACGCAGAAGTGGTAGAAGCACCCACGACGCAACCAACGACCCACGGCTGCAACTTGTCGGACGCGCCAAGCCACCACACCCACATACGATCCATCTTAAGTTCTCGTACAGCACAAAGCGGCCTGGAAGGTCGGTACTTCAGTGACAACCCATGGCCACCAGACTACGGCTCCCAGCACGTAGCCTGCGAGACGATCGATAACCAAATGCAACGCGATATGGATCGGCCGTAGGACAATGGGCAACGCGTAGACGATGAAGGAAGTGGTATGTCCGTGGTTTGGATGTGGTATACGGATGGAATAGGTTTGTAGACGTCGTCGTAGAAGAATAAAGCGACAGATGGCATTTGTCGAGTGGCTTGATGGGAAACCATATGCGAGGTGATAATTCTCGTAGGACTGATGAGAGCAGTTAGCAGTAGTAAGGGTGTGAACGCGTCGGAGAAGCCAAGAAATGTGACAAGACAGAGGCAAGAAGAGTCAAAACCGAAACAGCAAACGGCACACGTGAAAAAAGAAGTGCAGGAGAAGGAGAGGACCGGACAAGAGAGTAAAAACAGATACAGTGCAGTAGCGTTTGCGGCATTGTTATACACTCACTTGCGAGCACACTGTAGTAGTCATTCTAAGCTTCAACAGTCCCGCGTCACGCGTCACGGCCAGCAGTCCCTCGATTCGATCGAGTAGCCGGGCATGCTAGCCGTAAATATAGTTTATCGAATAAGCTTGGTCGTCAAAGCGACTCAGCTAGCAGTGAAAGAGTTGTATAGTGATGGACTTGATATGAATGTGGATGTGGTCGACTAACCTTTGCATCTACACAGAATCTTTTCTCTCGCTCCCGTGGCTCTGACACATTCTGATCTCGATATATCTCTTGTAATGACCGGTAGTGTTGGTGATGTGATCTCTGTTTACATCAATGACAGAGGTTTCGTTAATGGAAAGATCGTGAGTACCAGACATGGCTTGTGCTTGCGCTTGGGAGGAGTGCATCGATTGTCAAGAGAAGAGGCAAATAGTTACTGTTGCTTATGAAATAGGTCCCACGGGGAAAAGCCGCCCGCAGCCCGCCTATCGGATACCGTATGATTATCACCGTGGGCCAGTGCAGCCACAGCTGCCTTTAACGACTCGGCACTCGAAACGGAAGCCAGGCGATTGATACTTGAAGAGTTCTAGGAGGAATAAGGATAGCCGGATAGAAGCTGACGAAGGGCGAAGTGGTATGAGATGAGATAGAAGAAGTAGTGACGCTTCCACAACGTGTCAGCAGCAAAGTCTAATTTTCCATTGTTTTGAAGGTCGGGGTCCACCGGCACCCATAAGCGCTAAGCTTGTAAGTACAGCTGAGGATTTGATTGCCGTCGTCACGACCCGTCTACCAGTATCATACAACTCCATGGCCCCTCATTTGTATGCGATGCATAGTGTATATGGCCCGGGTGGGCGTGCTGCATGGGTACAGCACAAGCACAGCGCTGGGGCACGCTTATCATGGATATGGATGAAGTAAGTGTCATTTCCAGGCAGAATAGTACCAGCGCCGCATCCTAAGACTGTCAAAATCACTGAAGCTATCCCCTCAGGAGAGGATAGCCTTCTCTTCAGATCAGAATCTGCAAAATAAGAGGCAGGGAACTAACTTCCAATTGGGTATGGCTCTTCTTTCAATTCCCTGGTAGTATATGGATTATGGATTATGGATTACACGGCCCAATCAGCCTAAGCTGACGTGGTCCGCAAGGGAAACATCGGTTAGTACACGCACCTGTCATGTTCTTGGCTTGATAGGGCAGTATTAATCGCGCGAAAGCTGGGTTCGACTCCCAGCCAGGGAGCTGTATGGTCTATCATTCTCTGGTTTCAGTTGTTTTTGACCATCTCAAATGGGCTTCTTATTTTCACTTCATTATCCAAATCCAAATTACCTTCTCCCCTCACTAGGTCTGGTTCCAAGCCAATCTCCAAGTCTCACGTTTGGTGAAAATGGCTACCAGTAACCAGTGGCAGAAAAGTAGCCAGAACCTTTGAACATAGCATGGCCCAAGTTCCAACCTAGCAACAAATTATCTGTAGGCCCAGTATAACTGTATATGACTGCAAAAATTGCTGAAGAGGGAGCTATCTCCTCAGGACTCAGGAGAGGATAGTTAATTATGAGAGGGTAGTTACTATAATACTTATGGTGCAGTCCTCTTCAAACCAGAATAAGCTGAAGCCACAAACTGATGAGCTGATTTCCAATTAGGAACGACTTTGGTTTTTAATTCCTGGTAGTATGTTGGTTAGTACGCGCGCCTGTCATTTGATACTTGTATCCGAAATATTCATTACTCACGTGAAAGCAAGGTTCGACTCCCAGCCAGGGAGCTGTATTGGCTCTATCTGGCTTGGAGTTTTTTTGACCACCCCAGCTGGGCTACAGTGGGCTTCTCATCAACCTCATCAGCCAAATCCTAATGTCCTTTACCACCTCACTAGGCCTAGCTCCAAGTTCCAAACTCCAAGTCTCAGGTTAACAGTGAAAATGGCTACTGGCAGAAAAGCAGCCGGAACCTTCAACCATAAGTATTCCAACCTCTTCAAATTTCGGTGTAGGCCCAGTCTATGGCACAAAACTCTTCTCACTGGGAACATGAATGGAGCCATGCCTGTGCGTTTTGAGCCTTGTTGTACCAATGGCATGATCAACGTTGTTGAGGACACTGTGTACACTCCGTCGTGCGCCCACAACACATGTTTGTTCTGCTTAATTAGATCACTGGATCAGAAGCTCTGCATGCTCGCACAGCCATCGATAGTCTTAAAGTGTACATGAGATCAAGGACGATAAGAAAAATGGCTTTAATCACAGCGGAATACGCCCTCTCGCCGAGATTGATAAGTCGGATCTGGTGAAATCAAGAATCTGCTGTAGTTCCATCAGCGGATCTGGCACAGGGGTAAAGACTGTGGCAGTTGATCATCAGGCAACCGCGTTTAACGCAGCGGGAGTGTGGTGACCCCAGTTGCCTATGCATATTTGGTTATCGCTCTTGTTCCTCGACCACCGTCATGGTCGACGGTCGTCACAGCTCCACTTACCGTGAGTGTCGACGGTCCCGTATGCATCAACAGGTACACTCTGTTTATGTTTGTCATCATAGCCTTCACACATGGGGGTAAGAGGACAACGGCAAATGGATTACCTAGTCTACATACTAGGTGTATAGCCTGTGAGTCTTTACATCAGTGGCAAAATGCCCGAGCAAGTTCAACAGCGTATAATCTACTGCATGACAACATACAAGTGAGTACTAAGTACTATGACAGAGACAAAATAACCAACAAGAGAGTAGTTCAGTGTTCACATGTAGTTACAACCCGTATGCCAAGTTTCATCTTTTATTTGACAATGCACGTGTATAATAAGTATTTTGGCCATTCAAAGCCAAGATGTAAAGCATCAAGCAACGATCAAGTATATCTACCGTGCCGAAGTGTCGGCATCAAGTACATCAAAAGTACGCTACGTAGCTTCTCAGCCTCCTCTACATTTGTCTCAACTTTCATGAAGTGGCAATAGACTACTCTGAACTACATTGTGTATTCCAGATTCCAATCACTTATCTACTAAGGGCTGTATACTGCTTCTGCTTCCATCAAGTCCTGTACTGCCTTCAATACTGTTCCCGGTCTACCACGACCATCATACCCCACCTTCCTCATCCACTCTTCTAAGCTCTTGATACGGTTTGGATGAATGCGTGTCAAGAGATCTAAGTCTACCACTCCATTCACTCCATCATGGTAGTAATGCCAAAAAGCGGTAAAGTTCTCTCGCCAAGACATACTGGATTCGTCCTGGGATACATCTTGGCCTGCATGCCAGTTCATGGGCGCGTCTGGGTAAGGCTCTGCTGATGCAAAGTACTCCTCGAATGGTACAGACTTGTGAACCCCGTTCTTACCCGTTACTGCGGTAAATGTGTTGGCAATGTCCTCGAAGCTGACATAGTCTGTGACTACTTGAAGGTCCATTCCTGCCGACTCTGAAACATTGTCAAAGAGCCACAAGCTGTAATGCCCAATGTCTTCAACGGCAATCAGAGGAAGTTTTCCCTTCTCTAATGGATGTAAAAACAATGATTTGAGTCAAGTGAAGATGCTTAGATATGCGTAATACTACTCACTGGCTGGATTGATCCAGGCAAAGGAGCCATCTAGCTGCTCTTTGGGAACAAAAATTCCGTCGACGAGCATATCGACATATGGGCATGTCGAAAGTATGGAGCTTTTCATACCTGCTTGCCCATGAGCAAGTATAAAATCACTAACCCTTCCTTTTGCATCCCCATGGGCAAAGTGGTACTTCTTGTCCCAGTTTGCTTTTTTGAGCGCATACGCCGTGTTACCCCAGATGTAATGCTGTACGCCTTCGTACCGGGCAATCTCATATGCCCTGATTCCGTAGAAAAGTTCATTTTTCTCGCCAAGAGTAAACGAGTCAAGATTGACCCATGCCCCATAGACGCCACTGAGAGCTCTGTGCAGGTCGTCTTGGCTGTCTTGTCGGCCTTCGATCAATGTGACGTTAGGTAATCTGGCAAGTCGTTGGGCACGGCAAGATTTTACATTGCGAGTGAGAATTCTAACGCGATATCGTTTGCTTCCTGATAATGCTGAAGGTCGCAAGATCAGACACGTCCACGAACTTGACAATGGTGCTTACCTTCAACCACTGAAATTCCTTGGGCGCCGGTGCCTCCAATCACAAGAATTTCCTCCAAATCAGCCATGATCAAAAAGCTTCTGTTAAAAGCCCCGTCGTTGGAAGGAGGAAGGAAGGAAGTGAACTGCATTACTCCCACTTAAATACTGTTTTCCTCCCAGGACTCCACTCTGAAGTTCAATCGTAACTGGGTAAGCTGCGAATCAAATAGACTTTTCACTGGAGAGCCAAGCGGAGACCTTCTATCAGATTCCGGATAATGCCGGTGACTTATTCTTTCTCGCTTTTACCGCGTCTGTTCGCAAACTTAGGTATGAAACACTATTTTTGTGAGCCATCGCCCGATACCTGTCTCTGAGTACTAAAGCCGTGAGCTTCAATCTCGGCGTAGCAATACATGTTTGACTGCCATGGGTATCTTTTCTCCGTTGTCTTGAGGTATCATCGGCAAATCCACAAATATATAACCTTTGGTAACACTGTTATACCCCATCATACCATCCCGAGATCCAATTAAATATGCCGCCAGTATTGTACACCAATTATACCCACTGAAATTACCCGCATAAGGGTCAAAAATGGATTGATGGTAAAAATCACGCTTCTAAATCTTGTTCTAGAAGAGGCTCTCCGGGGGCTCCGATAATGAGTGGTGAACCCAAATACTTGGCCCCGATGAGTTAGGGTTTTTGGCCGAACCGAATTTCCTTCAGACCCCCAAAATTTGACAGGTTTTAATCCCATATTAGCCCAGTGTCTAAACTACAGAAAAACTTTTTTCAAACGATTCAAGCTATCCTGAAGCCCAAAATTCTCACCTTCACCCAGTTTGTGAGAAGTAGAATTAGATCTCTGAGGTCAAAATCATGTCAGAATTTGACCATTCTTGACCGAATGTTTGTTCTGCCCTCCGTCAACAGCGGCACTTTTTCACCAAACCTGTACATGGGTGTGAATGAACCAACATCAGACCCATTTTGACTAAACAGTTAGTATATGCCCTCACCTTCCTCTCCCCCTCTTCTAAAGTTTCTAAACTCTTTTTTCTCAAAGTTGGGAGGCTACCACACTGCGGCACGTAATCCGATTGGATCGTATGTCACCTGTTGGCGTGAAACGGTTTGCGCTCGCTTTGGCCGACCAAAGCGCTTGAGTGTCCGCTCATTGTGGCTGTGCTCATTTTTTGGGTCACGGGTGAACATTGGATTCGCTTTCGCTCACTCAATAAAAGCACAGACAAACCCAGTACGACGGTTTGGCACTGGGCTTAATTACCAGGTACAACAATTTCTATTGAACCTTGATAATCATATGAGCTTTGTACAAAGGTTGAATGCAAGGCATGCATAGTTCCGGCCTGACCACATGCATACAGCCATTTCATAGCTATTGATGGGACTGAGAGGTGCTCCTGGCATTGAGTAACTGTGGAACTTTGTCTAAAGTATTCTATCTGGCTGTCTACTAATTTTTTTCAAGTTCTTCATTGAATTCTGAGCGAGAATTACACTGCTGCAAATCAACATAAATTTTTGTGGAAGTAGTAAAATTATGTTAAACCTGTGTGAAGGTAGTAAGATTATGTTAAAATTGTATGAAACTCATACAATTTAAACATAATTTTACTATTTGCACCAAAATTTATGGTGATTTGCATGCAGTGTTACCGATGAATACCCGGAATTATTATTACATTCTACGCAGTTGCTATCCTCCTCGATGCAGGCATGTTTGGCATTTTTGTTGATTTACCTTGGTTGGGACCGTTCGGCCCCGCACTCTTCCCACACTTTATGAGATCTACTACTGGTTCTGCGCCAGTGGACGATAACTTCTTATTTATTATATCACTTACATTACATTGAATATAATGTAATTGATATAATCCATCCAAAACAATAGCATTACCCATTAATCTGGCTTTCTCTCATCCTCTTTCAGTGTAGCGATTAATCCTCTACAGAGTCAACTCGCTCCCTGTGCTGTGGAGCGAGCTACTTAAACATTACATTGAATGTAATGTAATTGATATTATAAATCCAAAACGATAGCATTACCCGTTAGTCTGGCTTTTCTCCCGTCCTCTTTTAGTGTAGTGATTAATCCTCTACAGATTCAACTCCCTCCCCGTGCTGTGGAGCGAGCTACTTTAGGATTAGTGCTTCATTATTAGTATAATTGCTTACTTTGCCGCTTCAAAACCCGAGCCCGAAGCCCACGCCCAGCCCAAAAAAGCCCAAGCCAAGTCATGAGGCCCAACTTAGGTTAGCCTGAGTCGGTGAGTCCAAAAGAGTGTTGGAAGTGTAAAAGCTGGGATTTCAATATAATGAAGGTCCAAGTTGGCTGGTGGGAAATATTGGAAGGACTATCGCCCTTGTACAAAATGTTACATAATGGTCACAATGAAGTTAGATATACCAAGGCAGGGTTCCGGACTTTGTAAAGATCACACCTGCACAAGATTACACAACTCTAGTCTCCTATAAGCAGACAGAACATGACGATCAAGATGTCTGCGACTTAGGTTGGCCCATCTAGCCTGGCCAATTAAGCGCCCATTTCCCAGCTATATTAGGTTAGGTAATGCCGTGTTGTAGTAAGAAAATTTTACAGTTTTTTTCATCTGTCCTTACGTTATTCATATTGGCTTAGTGTACAA